TTTCCTTAGCCCTGAACTTCAGGTCGAAACGTCGGCAAATGTCAAAATAAATATTATCATTTATTTTTGCCTTCTCATTTGACTGATCACCCCAACTATTCTTCTCTTCGTTATAGATGTTAATTGGTAAAAAGGGGAAAAGTAGGGATACCAATCTTGGAAATACCTGCTGAAATGGTTGCCGATTAAGACCCGTCTATCAATTTAATCGAAAAGGAAATAGCTGTTTTTACTGAATGATCACTGCTCAAAATAAAAAGTGATCCTTTATAACCACGATCCAACAACACCATGATGAGGATTAATTTTTACTAACAAGGCTATGGACGTGGGTTCACCGATTTAAATGAAACTTTTTGTGGTGAAACTAGGTCGAAAAATATTAGACCCATGTCCGAGGAGGGTTCTTACCGCCCTAGGAGCTGAGAAAAAAAAATATATAAAATTTTATTATATTGCTGTATTTCTGACATTACTCTACAAGTATTTTTAAGTTATTATATATCAATCTTTTTTCTTCTTTTTTTTTTTTTGTATTAAATAAGAAAAAGCCCATTATTAATCGTATGAAACGAATTCTAATGATTAATAAATAAGAAAAACCGATAGACGATTCCGGTAAAGTAGGCCAAATAAATACCTTTAAATATGAAGTTGTTTTTAAATCAAAAAATATTAATTTTTGAAATTAATTTTATGTGAGGATTCTTATTTAAGGGTTCTTCGAGGTGCGATTTACAAATCTCAACTTCCTTTCCACTTAAAACAAGAACTCTCCCATAATATTAAGTCCAAAAATTTATATATTTTTTTCAGAATATATATATATATATATTTACAATAAAATTGTAATGCTGCTGAACTGTGTTGAGTTGCTAACTGGCACAGCATACTAATCTATCAGGTAGAAAATATCTAAAAAATCAGCTTGATACACTTCGTATATAAAGATGTCATTTGTTGTTCCTTTCTTTTCTCTCAATTCTGTCATCTAGATCAATAAAGGGATTAAGAAACAGTAGAGCGTCGATTATCCGAACTATTGTTCGGTCAGGGGTGATTCGGTTAATCAAAAATTAATATAATCGAAATTCGCTATATATATATATATATATATATATATATATATATATATATATATATATATATACCTAAAAGGAAAATGTGAATCAGAATTATTTTTAATTCCCGTTATCGTTGGTTTATCGATACCGAATTCGATAGCTAATGTCTGACCTGATTCACCTTTTACTAACCGCGTAATAATTTCCATTTTGTCTTTCAATGAAAGACAAGATGAACCAACCATTCGTTTTATTTTTGTTGACATGCTGTCATTTCAAAACAAACAGTGATCACAATTGAGATGTATACCTCACGGAGAACGATTTAAAACAGAAGGTGAGCTATCTATTACCAACCGAATGAATGGGAAGGGATTCAGAGAAACAAATGAGGTGACCTAATTAGGTATATGATTCTCAGTAAAAAAATAGGTATAGAAATCTAAGTTCATTTTTTCCCGTTTTTTAGAAATAATCAGGCCTCTCTTATAGACTTTCAATGAAAAAATCATTTTGTTATTTATTTAATTTTATTTAAAATAACGATAATTTCAACAATACAAATAAATAATTAGACGATCAATTTAATTTTTATTATATTTACAACTGTAAATTTAATTAAAAAAAAAAAAGTTCCCTTAATTGAACGTTCGGATAACTGACGTTTGGATAACCGATGCTCCTCTGTATATAATAAATATCATTTTTAAAATCAGAAAACAGTAATATAAAAAATAATAAAATTTTATAAAATATTTTTTCTTGGCTCTTAGGACTCCTAAATTTGTCTAATTTTTTTTCTACCTAGTATCACCAAAAACCTCCCGTTGTAAGCTATTTAGATTAATTTTAATGAATTATGACATCCGCCTCTTTTGATGTTTAATGTTCAACCCCGTTGAACAGTATAGTCTGAATAACATTTTTAGGGAAAACTGGGTCAGGCTCCCGGAGTCCCCGGTTCTGAACTTCCCTGTGTTCGATTCCCACCTGGGTCAGTTAATATTTGTTTCTCGGTAGCTCGATAGCCGTCCTGGGTTCGCAAAAAGGACTATAAGGTCCACTTGCCGGACTAACCCCCCCCCCCCTCACCCATTTGTAATAGTAATAGTATTAATTTTATTTAACAATCTATTAATTTACAATAGTTGAAATTTAGTCTTTTTGGATTTTTCAAAAATCGGATTTGAGGTGTTTCTAGCTTTGGTAGACTATGCGCCCCCTTAGACTAAAGAGTTTGATATATATTTTTTTCGTCATTGAATCATGAATGTTATTCCATTTAAAAATTAAATTATCGTATTGTATTAAAATTAAGTTATGATTAACTAATTATAGTAGTGTGTTAAGATTATTTACATAGTGACTTATGTTAAAAATACAAGATATATGAAAAAAACAAAAACAAGGCGTTTTAATGAACTTTATTTCATAAAATATGTAATATAAACATTATACAATTACAAAATATACAGGAAACGCCTTCAAAAATCTCTACCTAAGAATGTATAAAAATCAATAAAAAAAAATGTAAAAAAAAAAAAATTATAAAGGATGCTTAGATCAGAGGATACTGATTAACAGTATGAACTCATCTTGACTATTGTACAATACAAAACACACAATATAAATAAATTTACAATGCCAATATAAAAACTAAGCATAACACTACACCAAGAAAAAACTATAAATACGAATTCCATTCATAGTGTTATAGAAAAGTCAGAGCTCTCACATACACACTAAAACTACACTAAACGGTTACTATTGTCTCAAACTAAATGTAATGAAAAATGAAAGGATAGTAAAGAAAAAGGTAAGAGGAGATCCAGTCTAACATCTAACTATTAATTTAAGTTCGAGCGTTTTATTTTATTTCCAATCGAATATGATAATTCAAATGGAAAACAGTACAAACGTTCGAGAACATACAATAGAAAGAGATTTATATAAGTACACAAAGCACCTTTTGCCAATACATTTAACCTGTATTGGCCAATATATATTTCGACTGTTGAAATAAAAAAATTTAAAAAAAAATTACAAAAATCTTGTTTTAGTTCTAGAGTTGGTGAATGCTAAATATGGCTAGAGCATTACTTAACTCATTCGTAGGTATGGACATTCATAATAATATAGCAAATCGAAGAACTAAAATTTTTAAAAACAGAACTTCAATTCAATTGTTTTCTGACTTATCAGTGAAATAAATTTTATCAAAATTGAATTGATACGTAGACACATAAGGGGCTGTTAGGTTGATAAGCTTCAATGCGTACAAAGCAATTGGAAGAAATTGGAATTGATTGTAAAAATATAAAAATGGTCATTTTTTTTTTTTTTTGTATATAAAATGAACAACCAACATATGCACTTTCGTATATAAAAATATAATTATAGATTTTTTTTTCATATAGCTTGTTCTCATACTGGAAAAATGTATAAGGATTTTGTACATCGTTGAATCAGAATCATAGGGAGAATAATCATAGATTTATATGGCGTTGTAGAACATTGTTAATTATGTATTGCCCTGTTTTATATATCGTTAGTTCGTATCAAATCACAGCCATTTCTGCGTCAGCAGCACTTATTTATTGTCGTAGTGTATTAATTTTCTGCGAGGGTACAACTACTTACAATTTTTTAGATCATTCAACATCGAAATCGAATTTGATCTAGTTGCTTTGCTAAATACTCCTGGTGTGGATAATAGACTATCACTTAGCAAACACTAAACTTATGAAATGAACTTCTAGGAATCTAATGGTACAACGTAGTGTTATGGTGAGCTTAAACTTGAAATAGATGATGAGTGGGAACTTGAATCATGCAGCTTCCCCTTGGTAACTAATAGTCATTTTTTTTTTGTTTGTCCCTTCGTCGATATGAGATCATTAATTTTTATACCTGCAAAGTCATAACATCGATTTAGACTTTTTGACCAGATTAAAGACACGGATACTTAAAGCTAAAAGACTTGAATTAGACAAAATGGGTCATGATCAAAGAATCCATTGAAGGCAGACGAAATCGTATTGGTCCCAATGTTCTTTGAATAACTTTCCCAACTAGCTTTAAAAAAAAATAATAATAATAAATAAATAAAAATAAAAACAAATTCAGTCAAAATATCATCACCAGCAATTGTAAAAAATATTAAATAAATGTCAACGCTGACGATACGATCCAAAAATCATTTTAAACAAATATGAAATTCATTTGAATCACAAACCAACAGATTCTAGATCAATTTATTTTCAATAGTAATCACAAAAGACCCTTATATGGTTCACATGTGGCTTATTCAACATTGAACGATGAGTATTGATAGGTACTGTTCATTGGTTTGTTGTACCTCTTTTGAAAAGTTAGAAAATACAATAAAAACCATCACCTTAACGATAATATTTCTTCACACATAAATATACTTACAATTAGGAATCCGACTTACATATATCACAATGGAATTTCCACATGGTCTCCTGCTTGAAAGCATACGAGGATAACCTGAACTTATTCCTTTACACTCATCACAAAACTCTCAGAATAATCTTTCATCACATCTTTGTCGTATATTATATCTTAATTCGTAAAAAAAGGGAACTTACCATACTAGCCACTTAATTAATTTAACTTACCATACTAAATATTTCTTAATATTTACAATTTTATATTTTTTTAAAATAATATGATTATGGTAATTGATTAAATTATGAATAAACACCTTCAAAGAACTGAACAATACCGATTGTCGATACAGGACAGTACAGATATATTCTTAGTGATATATATGTTTTGAAGGCAGGTATCTTTTTTTTTTTTTTTAAGGACAAACCAAACTAAACTTTATCACCAATGCATTAGAATCAAATAGAAATAAAAATCTGTAAAAAAAAATTCTCACAGATATTATAAAGAAATACAACAAAAACACCAGGGATAAAACAAGGGCTATGAAAAAATAAAAATAAATGGATGCTGGTAAAAAAACAATAATGTGTATTAGAAATTCCAAAAAAATCATACAACTAATTTGTTTTGCTTTTTCATTTCTGGCTATAAGAATATCAATATGTATGATATGATTGTATTTAGCCATCAGATTTTTTTTAAAAACATTTACCAGTAAAGTATTAAAACTCTGATTCACAGATATGGTGATTAAATATCACAACGAAGACAGTCAACAGCCGCGAGTATATTTACAGAACCGTGAAATTTACTATTTACATTCAATTTTGAGTCTTCATAAAATCATGCTTCTCTCAATAAAAAACTATCTAATCTTCAATTATAAACAAACAGGATACCACGACAATCGGCATTCTAGCAAATTTACTACTCTATCTTAAACTAAATACACATTTATACAAATAGAAAATTATCAAACATAAAAATGAGAGTAGTAATATTACAATTAACACAGACAAAAAGTTTATAACAAATATAAGTACATACATAGAAAATTGAATCATATAAAAACGAAAAAATGCTTTAAATCACTCAACTTATACAAAGGCAAACAATTTTAACATGTTTACCACAACTCACAAATGTTCAATCCGGCCTTTTTAAATATGGCGCCGGTATGACAACTGAGAAATAAAGGAATACTGAGGACAGTTACTGAAGCTGCCATGTGCTGTTCTCGAAGAGCTCCAGCGCGTTGGCGTCAATATCAGTTGGGAAGGGGTCAAAGTCCATGGAAAAGTCCGGAGGCATGAGTAGGAGATCTGTGAGTGACTCCAGGTCAGCCACCGACGGATTGGGATCAATAAATTCTGTTGTATCTTCTTCTACTTTCACTGTCACTGGACGAACCCTTGGCTCTAAAGTCTTAATTCTTTTGGGTTCTTCGTACATCGTAGCTTCTGGAGAAGATGGGGTGTCGAAGGCAGGGCTATGAGGCACATTCTGGCACTTCTTGGTCTTTCCACTCACTCCGGGTTTACTGTTGTTATTGGTATCCTTCTTCCCCCTCTTTGCTCGACCTCCTGGTGAGCCACCTTTGTTGACTTTTTTCCTCGGGCGGTATTTATAGTCGGGGTATTGCTGGAGGTGCATTACTCTAAGTCGCTCTGCTTCGTCAATGAAAGGCTGTCTGTCTTCCTCTAGAAGCGTCTTCCAAACCCTCCCTAAGTGTTTAGAAATTTCTGCGTTGTGCATGTCAGGTTGTTTTTCGCAAATCTTTCTCCTTTCAATTTGGCTCCAAACCATGAACGCATTCATAGGCCTCTTGATATGGTTCGGATTATTCTTTTTTGTCTGAAAAAGAAAGAAAAGAAAAATATGTAGACGTTATTATTAAGGAAAATAAATTAACATTTAAATATACATATTTTGTTATAAAGTAAAAGCAATAAGTCAAAAATATGATGGAAAAAAATTATTATTTTACTCAATAATTAATAGTTGACTGTTGCATTATAAAGGAAGCAGGTGGTCCTGGTTGGCGGTCTTAAATAGGCTAAATAGTTTTGCATACTTATGACCGCCACCCCGGACCATCTCCTTCCTTTATTATTTTATTTGAATTACTAAGAGGAATATTTTACAGGACAGAGTTTATTGGTTGGTTTTGTACAGTAAAAGCATTTCTTTGTATTTAATTCATACTAAGAACTACCCCATTTTCATATTTAGCGAGAGGCAGAATAACTAATTTATAAACTGCAGTAACTAGATTGAGTGATGCAACTAATTCTTCAAGGACACTGATAGTCCTGAGTATTAAATCATAGTACTCATAGTATTAAACCAATATATAATACTAAAAAAATGAGGATCTTGCATTCACTAAATGGCTTATGTATTACTGAGGGGTTGGAGAAGATACGACACTCAAGGCAGATGTCGCTGCTTCAAGAAAGCATTGGAGGGATAAAAAAAATCCACAATAAATAAATATATATAAGCGAGAATCGTGATTTTCATTTTGTTAAGAGCCAGGGACCCGACTTCAGCACGGCTCTGCACCCGGTTGACCTCGCTATCAACAACAGCCTGTCGGGCTCGTTTAAACTTTTATTAAAAGCAACATAGGAGCTTTAAACGATTTCCAAATCGGAATACTTCACAGGCGTCCATTAAAAATATATTGTATAACTCTAAATCGTAATCTGCTACGGAACTTCTTCCTTGCAGATGTAGTTAAATATCTGATAAAGAGGCGTCATTAATTATTGCAATATAAATCAGCTGTTGAAGAAGGCAAACAACCATTACAGATTAATCTTTGAGATAAGATACGCAGTTTAAGAAAGAAGAAGTAAACAAGAACTCATAACGCCCTAATTGTGTTTTTCATTTTTTATAAAAAATAAATCGTCAATAGGACAGTTAACATATGGCCAATAAAGTCTACACAGGATTCTGAAGATCACCCAACATTTCCTTCCAGCGAGAGGGCATTAATCCAAATTTATGTGGACACGGCTTAATGATTTCGCCTAAATTATTTTCGTAATAAAGAACATAAAAACAGTTTACACCAAATTGGTTCCAAAATTAAATTTGAACAAAAGGGGGCCGTGTCCTCTGCTCACCTTCAGATCCTACGGTGAGCCAGCACGATTGCATATTTACACCTCAGTCTATTTCAACGGTGTTCATCGGATCTTGCAACATCGCTAGGAAAATCAAATAGTTTTGAGAAGATCATTAACAGTATGAAACACGAGACTTGTTTACGAACAATTGCATAATCTTTGGCGGCGCATGTTAATCATAACGGAGAAATCTATTTATTTTTTGGTTTTTAAAATATGGTGTCAGAGAATGTTTTGATGGCATCATAATGTCGAAACCTAATCCCAATGCCAATCAGACGTATTCAATTTATTAATTGTATATGACTGATAATAGTCCTTATTATGTGATAAATTAGGTATGGAGATTTTTATAATATGATAACATAACAGGCAAACAATATATTAATGTATTTTTGAGATCTAGTAGGGCAATATAAAACTGTTATACCAAGCCTCTGCATCTTAAACGGTTTTTTATACCATCTTTGGCTCTAGCATACAGTTCAATGCCATGGTAATAGTATCTAGAGCAATTGCAAGATCTACTTGATACAATACCATGACGGATATGGATATAGAATTGAGGACACGAACTAGCCTTGGGGTGTAAAGTGTATCTGCACTCAAAAAAATCTTTCAGGCTGAAGCCCCCCCCCAAAAAAAAAATAAGAAATCCTGGATCCGTTAGTGCCTGGGATTATATTACAGCAACGTTTTTGTCAAAATCAGCTAACCGAAAGTGGTACTTTATATCATAGACTTGACACATTTTTACAATTTTATAGAAAACGGCTTTAACGATTTTGATTAAATTCATGAAAGTGTAAAATTGAGCAGTTTTAAATAAAATGTAGGTTTTATTCTGATGGATGTTCTTTAACAGGGCTTAAATGGCTAATTTTCAATATTAGCTTCTCCGAATGTAACTTTTTTAACTAATTTTTTTATTTGAAATAGTTGATTTATAATATCAAAGATAGTTAAATATAAAATATGAAAGAATTTGATAAGTAACTAAAGGAAAAATAAGAGATCGTAACGAAGAATAGTTGTAATTAAGGAACCAAAATAATACGAGCGCGCCCGAGCTCACTCGAGTTCCCCCGAAAGATTAGGACAGGCTTCCATACGTAACATAAGCTTAATGTAATTCGGACTCCGACAATATTATATAAATATACGCGGTTTTCATAAATGCTATTGTTTGTATTATTTAATATTTAATTGTATGGATTACAGCGATATAAATATTAAAATTTGTAAATATAAGGGTACATATACCAATAAAAATATCCTCAATCAATTATAAATAAATATAGCGTCTATAATTTTTACTTCCACTTCCCATTTGTCTGAAAATACTTATTTCTGCTAAGATGGGGGTGGTAAGTGAAAGTTGTGTGATGCGCTTACCGCAACAATTTTTTAAATTTAAAACGAGTTCAATATATCTATCCAATAGATGTTTTCAGTAACTGCTCATCAGAAGAAAACGCGTTATGAATAGGTTGGACCTAATGTGCTATGTGATGGTGTTCTCTATATCGATTTTTCACAATTTCGGTTATTTTTGGAAGACGTACCTCAATGCAAAGCTATAGCCAGTGCGAAAAAAAATTCACAACTCAGTGAGGAAAGAAAGTTTCAATTTATTTTCAATACAGCTGTTTTAATTACGCATTATTTCTATAATATCTCATCCCCCCAAAATCCTCCCCCGACCCTCCGACTTGCCTACTTCTTAGGTGACAGTACTTGAACGCCTTCAGTACTGGAGACATGGTTAGTAATATTAAATATTGCATTTTATAAGTTGATAATGTATATTATCTTATAGTTTGTATAACTTATTAAATATTTCATTTTTTTATCTCATGTATCATCCATCACTAACCATTATCTCTGATGTTATTAAAAAAATGTTCAGCTCTGATGATGACCCACATGCATTGTTGAAACGTCGACAATAATAAAAATCTTAAAATGACTGCTTCCTGATTATTTATTAGCAATTATTTCTATACATATGTGCTCCTTATCTATCTAGGAGGGGAATGTAATAACGTATTTAAGCATTTTGTGTTGAAGGTAAACGGGCTATATCAACTTATTTAGCATATGATACTTTCCTTATCAACTATTTTATTATTTTACATAGTTACGTATTAGAAATGTGGGAGAATAAACTAATGTCATCCCGACAACACGTGTTAATCAAGGCAGCCGTGTCGAATGTTAACTACTTTCAGGACTAATCAGGAATCTGGTAATAGCGTGCTTTCCATGATCATGAAACCGACAGCCATCTTTGAATACGTAAAAGGAACAAGTACCGCTTATTAGGTATTAAATATAAATGTGATGAATTAAATATTAATACCAAGATAAGCCTAAGCAATTATGTTATTTATGAATAATGCTGGGAAATATTAATGTATTTCTGAGATGTAGTAGGACTCTAATAAATATACACATGTATAGAACTGTTATACCAAGCTTCTGCATCTAAAATCATAAATTTTTCGTAAACGGTTTTTGATGCCATCTTTGGCTGATATATATAGCCATCGTAATAGTACTTAGAGCAATTGCAAGATGTACTTGATACTACACCATGAAGGATATGGATATAGAATTAAGGACACGAGGCGAACTGGCCTTGGTGTATAAAGTGTATCTGCACTCTGCCAGGGGTGCAGACCCCCAAATGAAACACTTCGTCGCAAAACACAGCATCCATACATTTGAAATCTGTATGAAAATTATACCGAATTTTCGTAAATAGGTTCATCTCATCGCAACCTTCAACTTGTATATTTACGAAAATTCTCTGAATTGTCGCCTTCTCAATCCGACGATAGGCAAACTTTGTCTATTTAATTAGGCACTAAAAACTCATCAACATACATTGGCTTTACACTCGAATCCTAAGATGGTTCGATCACAAAATCCAGAATAAAGTTGGTCTTCATTCATGAGAATTTTCGCACGCAAAATTTTGTATGTTAGGAAAAGATGAAGCTATTCACGAAGTTTTAGGTAGATGTTTATAATTTTATAAAAAGAGGTCTGGACTATATGTCTAAGGTAAAAGTTTAACATTTATTTATTTAAGTTATTAAAAATGGTTACGTTAAATGATAAATAAACACTAATTGGGCTTAGATCAGAGAGAGAGTAATTTATATTAAATGAATTATAGATGATAAATAGTCAGAACGAAGTAATTTTTAAGGTTTTATTAGACCCACAGAATACTTGAATACCTTCAGTGCTTGAATGATGATGACCCACGAATGATGATAAAAGTTTTTTATTTAATTTAGTTTTAAATAAAATTTCAAAAGATTTTTAAAAAAACAACCTTAACTTGAAAATCTGCAAAGGAAAATGTTCCAGCACCGAATTGAAAATAAAGATTCCAATCTTGCCAAAACTGATTAAAAATAAAAGTTACAATTTTATTCAAAGCCCTGATTAGAAATGAGATTAGAGATAAATTAAAATTGTAATCACATCTACAAATTTGTAAAAAATTTAATCACATCTTGTAATTGTGTACATGTTACAATTTTTTTTAAAGCTTTTTTTAAGTTTGTAGGCTCTTCTTCAAATTTTAAATATACCTGTTAATTTTTCTTATTTTAGTCTTTAATTTTTAATTTTAATATTTTTTCATATAGGTATGCATATGTTTTTGCTTAGCTTCAATTTTCTTATTTTTAGGTTATTTTA